CAATTTTCAGGAATTTTTGCAATTTTTGCTATTTTCAGGAATTTTTGCAATTTTTGCTATTTTCAGGAATTTTTGCGATTTTTGCAATTTTCAGGAATTTTTGCGATTTTTGCAATTTTCAGGAATTTTTGCAATTTTTGCTATTTTCAGGAATTTTTGCAATTTTTGCTATTTCCAGGAATTTTTGCAATTTTTGTTATTTCAGCAATTTTCAGGCATTTTTGCGATTTTTGCAATTTTCAGGAATTTTTGCAATTTTTGCAATTTTCCGGAATTTTTGCGATTTTTGCAATTTTCAGGAATTTTTGCAATTTTCAGGAATTTTTGCAATTTTCAGGAATTTTTGCTATTTTTGCATTTTTCAGTAATTTTTGCAATTTTTGCAATTTTCAGGAATTTTTGCAATTTTTTCAATTTTCAGGAATTTTTGCGATTTTTGCAATTTTCAGGAATTTTTGCAATTTTTGCAATTTTCAGGAATTTTTGCGATTTTTTTCAATTTTCAGGAATTTTTGCGATTTTTTCAATTCTCAGGAATTTTTGCAACTTTCAGGAATTTTTGCAATTTTTGTTATTTCAGCTTTCAGGAATTTTTGCAATTTTTGTTATTTCAGCAACTTTCAGGCATTTTTGCGATTTTTGCAATTTTCAGGAATTTTTGCAATTTTTGCTATTTTCAGGAATTTTTGCGATTTTTGCAATTTTCAGGAATTTTTGCAATTTTTGCAATTTTCAGGAATTTTTGCTATTTTTGCAATTTTTGCCATTTTCAGGAATTTTTGCAATTTTTGCTATTTTCAGGAATTTTTGCAATTTTTGCTATTTTCAGGAATTTTTGCAATTTTTGTTATTTCAGCAACTTTCAGGCATTTTTGCGATTTTTGCAATTTTCAGGAATTTTTGCAATTTTTGCCATTTTCAGGAATTTTTGCGATTTTTGCAATTTTCAGGAATTTTTGCTATTTTTGCATTTTTCAGTAATTTTTGCAATTTTTGCAATTTTCAGGAATTTTTGCATTTTTTGTTATTTCAGCAATTTTCAGGCATTTTTGCGATTTTTGCAATTTTCAGGAATTTTTGCAATTTTTGCTATTTTCAGGAATTTTTGCGATTTTTGCAATTTTCAGGAATTTTTGCAATTTTTGCAATTTTCAGGAATTTTTGCGATTTTTTTCAATTTTCAGGAATTTTTGCGATTTTTTCAATTTTCAGGAATTTTTGCAATTTTCAGGAATTTTTGCAATTTTTGTTATTTCAGCTTTCAGGAATTTTTGCAATTTTTGTTATTTCAGCAACTTTCAGGCATTTTTGCGATTTTTGCAATTTTCAGGAATTTTTGCAATTTTTGCTATTTTCAGGAATTTTTGCGATTTTTGCAATTTTCAGGAATTTTTGCAATTTTTGCAATTTTCAGGAATTTTTGCTATTTTCAGGAATTTTTGCTATTTTTGCAATTTTTGTCGATTTTCAGAAATGTTTGCAATTTTTTGCTATTTTCAGGAATTTTTGCTATTTTCAGGAATTTTTGCGATTTTTGCAATTTTCAGGAATTTTTGCAATTTTTGCAATTTTTGCCATTTCCAGGAATTTTTGCGATTTTTGCAATTTTCAGGAATTTTTGCAATTTTCAGGAATTTTTGCTATTTTTGCATTTTTCAGTAATTTTTGCAATTTTTGCAATTTTCAGGAATTTTTGCAATTTTTGTTATTTCAGCAATTTTCAGGCATTTTTGCGATTTTTGCAATTTTTGCAATTTTCAGGAATTTTTGCAATTTTTGCAATTTTCAGGAATTTTTGCAATTTTTTTCAATTTTCAGGAATTTTTGCGATTTTTTCAATTTTCAGGAATTTTTGCAATTTTTGCTATTTTCAGGAATTTTTGCAATTTTTGCTATTTTCAGGAATTTTTGCGATTTTTGCAATTTTCAGGAATTTTTGCAATTTTTGCAATTTTTGCCATTTCCAGGAATTTTTGCGATTTTTGCAATTTTCAGGAATTTTTGCAATTTTCAGGAATTTTTGCTATTTTTGCATTTTTCAGTAATTTTTGCGATTTTTGCAATTTTCAGAAAATTTTCTTATTTTTAGGAATTTTTGCAGTTTTTGCTACTTCTGCAATTTCCAGGAATTTTCGCAATTTTCCGGAATTTTTGCAATTTTTGCAATTTTCAGGCATTTTTTGCGATTTTTGCAATTTTCAGGCATTATTGCGATTTTTGCAATTTTCAGGGATTTTCAGGAATTTTCGCAATTTTCATGAATTCTTGCGATTTTTGGTTACAATCATCAGGATTTTTTGCGATTTTTGCAATTTCCAGGAATTTTTGCAATTTCAGGAATTTTTGTAATTTTCAGGAATTTTAGCAAATTTTCAGTAATTTTTTCAATTTTCAGGAATTTCTGCTATTTTTGCAATTTTCAGGAATTTTTGCAATATTGCAATTTTGCAATTTTCAAAAATCGCAAAAATGCCTGAAGATTGCGAAAATTGCAAAAATTCCTGAAAATTGCAAAAATTCCTGAAAATTGCAAAAATTCCTGAAAATTGCAAAAATTGCAAAAATTGCAAAAATTGCAAAAATCGCAGAAATAGCAAAAATTGCAAAAATTCCTGAAATCTGCAAGAATTCCAAAAAATTGCAAAAATCGCAAAAATTCCTGAAAATTGCAAAAATCGCAGATGCCTGAAGATTGCAAAAATAGCAAAAATTGAAAAAATTCCTGAAAATTGCAAAAATTCCTGAAATTCGGAAAATTTCCTGAAAAATCCGGAAAATTGTAAAAATTCCAAAATTCCTGAAAATCGCAGAAATCGCAAAAATGCCTGAAAATTGAAAAAATCGCAAAAATGCCTGAAAATTGGATAAATTGCAAAAATTCCTGAAAATTGCAAAAATCGCAAAAATTCCTGAAAATTGCAGAAATAGCAAAAATTGCAAAAATTGCAAAAATTCCTGAAAATAACAAAGATTTCTGAAAATTGCAAAAACTCCTGAAAATTGCAAAAATTCCGGAAAATTGTAAAAATTCCTAATTTCCTGAAAATTTCAAAAATCGCAAAAATGCCTGAAAATTGCAAAAATCGCAAAAATGCCTGAAAATTGCAAAAATTGCAAAAATTGCAAGAATTACTGAAAATTCCAGAAATAGCAAAAATTTCAAAAATTCCTGAAAATTAAAAAAAATTTCTGGAAATTGCAAAAATTCCTGAAAATTAGAAAAATTTCTGAAAATTGCAAAAATCGCTAAAATTCCTGAAAATTGCAGAAATTGCAGAAATAGCAAAAATTGCAAAGATTCCTGAATATTAATTCCTGAAAATTGCAAAAATCGCAAAAATGCCTGAAAATTGCAAAAATAGCAAAAATTGCAAAAATTCCTGAAAATTGGAAAAATTCCTGGAAATTGTAAAAATTTCAAAAATACCTGAAATTTGTAAAATTCCTGAAAAATGCAAAAATTGCAAAAATTCCGGAAAATTGTAAAAATTCCTAAACTCCTGAAAATTGCAAAAATAGCAAATATGCCTGAAAATTCCAAAAATCGCAAAAATGCCTGAAAATTGCAAAAATTCCTGAAAATTGCAAAAATAACAAAAATTCCTGAAAATTGCAGAAATAGCAAAAATTGCAAAAATTCCTGAAAATTAGAAAAATTTCTGAAAATTTCAAGAATTGCAAAAATTCCTGAAAACTGTAAGAATTGCAAAAATCGCAAAAATGCGTGAAAATTGCAAAAATCGCAAAAATGCCTGTGAATTGCAGAAATAGCAAAAATTGCAAAAATTCCTGAAAATAAGAAAAATATCTGAAAATTGCAAAAACTCCTGAAAATTGCAAAAAACGCAAAAATTCCTAAATTGCAGAAATTTTAAAAATTCCTGAAAATTGCAAAATTTCCTGAAAGTTGCAAAAATTCCTGAAAATTGGAAAAATTGCAGAAATTGCAAAAATTTCTGGAAATTGCAAAAATTGAAAAAATTCCTGATAACTGAAAATTGCGAAAATCGCAAAAATTCTTGAAAATTGCAAAAATCGCATAAATGCCTGAAAATTGCAAAAATTCCTGGAAATTGTAAAAATATATATAGAGTTATTTGCAGACCACATTTCTGTCTAAAAAATGATTTCATTTCGCCAACGATTTATGTGAGCAATTTTTATCCCTATACAATGGTACTCTGAATTTAACTAGCAATTGGAAAATCGGAGATATAATTTCACATTCCACTTGAAACAAATACACCAGTGGAAATGAAATAATAATTCATGATTATCAATACTATTCGTCTGAGACTAATGAATACAGAGTGTTTCAAAGCAGTAAAACAATGTTCCGGACCTATGTAGGGCGATGTTTTCAAAATTAAATGGGGGTTACTGATCCCTGACATCTATCCAAGTTCTTTTGAATTCATCGTCGAAAAACATCACGAATAGTTCTTTTTTATCAAGTCGATAAGATCAGCAGACTGAGATTGGGGATTTCGAAAATGGTGTCTACTTTTTTCGAAGATGGTTGCCCCAAGAACCTAACCTAACCCGACTTGCATGTCTGAAAAACTTTTATGAATCATCCAAAAAATTGGAATCGACTAGATATTTTCTCTCAGAAATACCAATGTCCTGGGAACCACGTTTTCATTTTCTATATTCTAAACATTGACGAGTAGGTCATTAACTCTGGGAGTTTGCAACAAGTTTCCCGAACTACCCTGAATATTATTATGATGAATTGCGTTATGTAGTGCATTGTTCTGTTTCAAAAAGCTATGCTAGCACAGTACGGTTGTGTTACATTTTCCCAAATTCAAATTATCAACTGTGACACACGATGTGAAATTTTACCTGTATTTCTATAACAATGAATGAATAAATGTTCGTTTCACTTTTATGATTAAGGCACTGTTGACTTGTTTATTGTATTCGGTAATGTTTGTGAGTCAAGAAATTTTTGAGAATTCTAACTTGAAAATGATGTTAGTGTTGTTTTTACACACCAGTGGTCTCTGTGAGGAGAAGAGAGATGGAAACCAACGCCAATATCCGAGTGAACATTGTTCCTGGGCAAATGGAAGAACTAAAAAACGGCAAGCACTGCGAGATTCACTGAGTGACTGGCCATTGACTTCGTGAATACCTCTTATATGCTTTCATCTTGCTCTCTGTGGTCATTCGACGATGTGCGAAACAGCTACCGGTCTGCCGTTTCCCGGACGAACAGCCTTTTAGCCTTTCTGCCACCTGGCAGGTTCTTATTTTTACCTCTCTTTGACCTGCAGGATCATTCGGGTAGATGCTGCGAGGTCAGTCGTGAGCGCAGGGGAAACTGTACAGGGAGATTCTACTACGAATATAGTGATTTCCTACGAGAATTAAGTTTGCAGCATGAGCCATAGGCGAATGCTGCAATCATCCGAGTAGGAAATTAGCATTCCGTGCAAGTTATACACTATAATTTTTCTACGGCTATAATATATAACAGCGGCATTTTCTATTTCTTCGTCTTGAAGTCATCTGATTTCCTGTCGAATAATGCTCATCTATCAGACAGAGCTGTCATTGTTTGAAATTTTAACTTCCCTGGGCGATGAGATTTTTATGACCTAATAACACAATGGAGTCATTGTGATATCAGATACGGAAATATAATTGATGACAAACAAATTACCTCATTGATGTATCGAACACAGTAAAACAAGAGCAATTTTGTGTTATAGCCGTAGAAAAATTTACTTGTTACACATCCGGGTTTAAACTAATTGATGGCTGAAAATGGAGAACATGGTTCCTTAGCTCATTTTGAGAAGAAAAGTTTATATGAACATATGCCCTAAACCTTTCAACTTTCGAGCTATAGGGTGTTGAAATTTTAAGAAAGAAATAATCGTTTTCTTATCATAACGCCAATACTGTTCTAGATATTTCCATGAAATTCGATGTGCACCTTCTAAGCACCAATATGTATTTTTTGATGCAGGAGATTATTTGATATTCCTAGCAATGGCGTCCGTACGGGATGTATACTGGAGATTTTTTCAAAAATATATTGTACGCTCTTGCTTTTGCCAAAAATAAAAGAAAAAAAAAACATTTTTGAAATCCTCATTTATTTTGCAACAATTTGACAAACCGTTTTCACATAAAAAAATTGGAACCACGAAAATATTTTGAACTAGCAGTGCCCTCGTGCCTTATTTTGTATTTAAAATAATGACAAGTAATAAAGAGATACAATTGTAACACCCTTATGCTTAGAGGTTTAAGGCATATGTTCATAAAAACTTTTCTTCCTAAAATGACCTAAGGAACCAGCTTGTACCATTCAGAGGGATAGAACTACCCCCACCTCCATTAGCTCTTGAAAATAGTGAGAGGATTTTGTTCAAGCTGTATTTTTTTTTCGCATCTTAGGTCAGTTACACGGTAGCCAATATGGTGGAAAATCATTTAGCAGCTTTGAAACATCCTGTATTCCAGAAATACAGACAGCAGCCATTTTCTCAGTTGAAAATCACCCTGCATGCCTATATTCATTTGTTAATTAATCACCTTGTAATTTTATCATTCCAGTTTTTTTATCAAAAAATCAATAGTATATGACATTATGGCAACGAAAGAATGCCCTGTTGTTCAAATATTTGCTTGTCATCACGAATCACCTTGCATACAAGCTGATATATAAAGCCCCTCAAAAGATGCTATAACCATAAACCATCAACTAATCATCTTTTTCTATTCAATAGGAAGTGTCACAAAAAGAATAAAAACGGCCAACTTGCCTTCGGGTCAGGTATATTTTTTTGTATAATGTCTGTGCCTGTGGTGGAAATAAATCAGTGAAATAGTTTATTTTTGTAGTCTTTATTGGAAATATGGCTTCACTGTTATTTGGGCCAAGACTACAGAGGCCTACCTATAAGGTAAAACAGGGGGTCAGATGTGAATTATTCAATATCTATCGAATCGCTTGTTATTTTGGTATACTTACGAGTACTAGAATTATATCGGCAATCTAAATATTATTTCAACATCAAAATATTGGGTGCATTTTCCATTGAAGTATACATGAGTGATGCTATTATTAGCTGAACAATGAATTTTCCATTTTCATCCGAAGAATGGCCAGCCATATTGAGAATTGGGAATGGAGCCAAATATCCAATAATGCGATTAGAGAAAGATAAATGGTCAACTATGAAATTAATTTCCAAAATATCCCATCAGATTTCTAGTAATTATTTCAATCAATTTCCGCTAACTGTATGTCGTTCGGAAATAATTTCTAGAAGCTTTTCAGATTGATATAGTTCAACAGATTATTTTGTTAGGGTACGAAAAAATTATGATTAATTGGAAAAACAGCAATATGATGTTTTTACATACCATTAGTGGGATATTACAGATCTAATAAAAACCTTCCAGAGACGCTGGAGATACAAACATCTACGTTTAGTAAACACAATAATAATTTTTTGCAGGCACTTTTCATGAGACAGAGAAGTCTGTAAACGAAAGTCATTCTATATACTTTTTCCACTACTTTGAAACACTATTAAAAATTGCATAGTATATACTAATTTATTAACAAAGTCACACTTATGTGGGTTCCAGGGCATGAAAAAATCAAAGGAAATGAGGCAGCTGATCGCCTTGCAAAAAAAGGTACAGCATCTGCACTTTTTGGTCCTGAGCCTCTTTGTGGGATAAGCAAATGTCAACTAAAGGGAGAACTCAGGAAATGGGAAGAAATTGAAAAGTCCTCCTGGAGAGCAACTCCAGGTCAACGACAAGCGAAAAGGTTCATCAACCATTCGCAGAACCGAGCCAAAGAGCTACTCAGCCTCAGCAAACCAGAGCTGAAGCTTATCACAGGATTTCTCACAGGACACGGCCCTCTGAGGTACCACCTCAAAAAGATGGGCCTGGCGGAGACTGACACTTGCCGCTTTTGTAACAATGCGACCGAAACCGCGAAACACATACTTTGCTCATGTGAAGTATTAGTCCGCACTCCGCCAAAGGCTGAACCACCTAGAACAGGTCTATCTCACCCCTGCTGAAGTGGAAAAGTCAACCGTCAGGAGAATCGTAGGCTTCATCAGTCAGAAGTCTAGGGTTAGAGGACCAAAACTAGATAGGAGTAATCACAATAGATCTTCTAGGTCGCAGTGATCGAGAGGTCTCCCAGCCTATACGACCCATCTACAATCTACAATCTCTACTAATTTATTATAATAATTTCGTAAGTGACATTTTTTTGTCCTGGACCGAAGCTAAATCTGCTTCCCAATAAGCTGTTGGCTGCGAAACGTTTTCCATCTACTTTTCGCGCTCCTTCCATCATATTATAATATAATGGCTGAGTATTTTTTACGTTTTTTTTTCTCGCCCTATCAATATTCGGTCCCAACAGCGTAGTCGAAAACCGTTTTCGCAATTTCTTTCCATTGCCACTATTCGCTCCAATATATTTAAAGGCAAAGAGAATTCGATCAACAGGAAAACAAAGTTACGCGGAGGTGAACCAACAGACGAAATCGAATTAACCGACCCGTTCCATTATTCCTTTTATCTTTCACAACTCGAGCTTTGACTTAAGCTGTAAAACTCGCATCAGAAAGGATCATTTACTAGGGGATTTTTATGGCAAATAACTCTTGACAGACGTTATAGCGGTCCAGGTCCTATTGAATAAATACTCTTATTGGACCTTATCGTCAGTTCGCAATAGTGGACCTTCGGATTAATAAATCGTGGTTTTATCATGTCTACTGGTCTGAATATCTGTGGATGTGAATCATTATCACATGAACTTCCCATTATGTTCTGGGAACATCACTTAGGATGATGTTAATTCACAATAATATCTACTTATGCTGAGTTTATAGATTCAGCTAAACTAAGAATTAAACTAACAACTATGAACTTAAAAAGTTGAATACATTTGTTGTCATAAATATATTTCCAAAGCACTGAGTTTGTGATAAAAATTGATTCTCAGGCACTAAAATCAGTATTTCTATAAATGGTTGAAAAATATAGCTTGTTCTTCTTCAAATTATGAGCAGTTCCTGATGAATCATCACTTCTGGATTCTAGACGGGATGGATTTCTCCAAATTGATATCAAAAATAGATCATATATCCAAGAAAGTTCGTCCCAACTTTCATATTTTATATAAGTTCCAGTATAGCGGGTGGAATGTCTTTCATATATAGGGTGTCCTGAAAAGGTCTTTACGAAAACCTAGCTCAGACCAAAACAATTTAATACAACTAAATTTACCTCAGTACAAAGTTGGTCAGTTTGGACGCTAGACTGCTCTAGAGTTACAATTTTCAAATCGTTTTTGCCTCATAACTTTGAAACGGCTCATGAGATTTTACTCAAGTTTGGTACTTTGGCGTAGCTTTATTGAGCAATATCAAGATTATGTTGAATATCACTTAATGGGCATAGAACTTTTTTCATCAAATAAATATAAATCATGGAAAGAAGGAGGTTTGCGTATGAAATTTCAATTGTATGTCTTGTTTCCTACAAAAAAGCACTCTTGATTGAATTCAATTTCTCTCATATGCATGGTTTCGACAAAATTTCAAGTTTAGTAATTCGAAGCATCAGCAAACACTAAAACGATCAATAGAAAGTTCATAAACATTGATCAAAATGTTGACCATTTTCTCGTATAGGAAGATTTATACGACGAAAAAAATTGCTCTGGCTTACCCAGTCCACAAACACAACAAGAATTAGCTAATAGCATATATACATGTTTTCGTCGTATAATTCTTTGTATTCGTGAAAATGATGGAAATTTTGAACAATTTTTATGAAATATCTGTTGATCGTTTCAGTATTGACTGATGCTTTATTGAATTACTAAAATTCAAATCTTGTCGAAACCGTGAGAGTGATCGAATTTTATCAAAAGTACCTTTTTTGTAGTAAAAAAGTTACTCAATCGAAATTCCATATTCAAACCCCTTCCTTTTCATTGGTTTAGAAGTTTTATATGTTTATCAAATGAAAAAATTAAGTTCCACATCCATAGGATGATATTCATCATAATCATGATATGCGTTTCATTGCCCAATAAAGTTATACCAACTCACCAAATTTGAGTGAAATCTCATGAGTCGTTTCAAAGTTATGAAGCAAAAACGATTTGAAAATTGTAGCTTCAGAGCCCTTTAGTGCCCAAACTAAGCAACTATGAAGGTAAGTTTGCTTGTATCGGATTGTTTTGGTCTGAGAAATATGTGGTAAGATATTGTAAAGACCTTTCAGGGACACTCTCAGA